ATATATATATATATATACACTTTATACCTAATATCTTCTTACCTAATAAATATGTGGCTTTTGTCCAGCAGATGAAACTTTATATTGCTAATTCAGCCCATAGAGATTCGTGAGTCATTTAACGATCGAGTTACCAAAGTGACCAGCTGCGGTTTTTTCAACGTATCTGAGGAAATCTCTAGTGTGTCTGCTGCTCTCATTGAAAGCCGTCGCGTGGCGAGGGACATCGGAGGATCTGACCCCGAGCGCATGTCTGCAATTAACATTGTCAAATACCTCGAGCATGAAATGCAGGGCTTGGATACAGTTTTGATGACGGTGAATGAAATTGATCCCAAAAAGCATCCTTTGATGGCAGCTGTCAATCGAGCTGCATCCGGTATGTAATAGCCCATCTAATTAAAAAACTTAAATACCTTTATCATACTCCTCATTTTTGTATTATTTCTAACTTTAACGTCTAATTTGTCACCTTTATGTCAACACAGGTTACCCATTGAAAAAAAGGGGGATTTTGGCGTGACAAAGTATCGATTTGTTTCTTTATCTGTATCAAAGATTCTTATTATCACCTTAAATCGGTGTTTATGCAACATTTTAATTACTTGTTTGTTTTTAATAGAGCACTTATCCTTTAATGCCCCAAAAAATATATTGTTGGGGGGACCTTCATTTCATATGAAACTGCATGGAGAAGAAATTCGTGGGTTGATTTCACCAGAAGACGATTGCTGAATCCCGTGTACTGCAATTGTTTGGCTTTAATACGACGCTCTAGTTGACTCAGTTCACGAGACATCTTCTTTCGCTTCGGGTGAAAACTGGCTGAGCTCTCGTCCATTATATGATAGGCATCGTCAGCGCTAGAGATCATTCTTGTAAAATGTATCACGCTAATACTAGGTGAAGAAGATTATCCGGTCCTGCTACCTTTGCTTGAGTATTTGGGCTAACGTCTATACGCACTACCGTTCTAAATAAGAGTAATCAAAAAACCTAATGTCAGGCCCTTTTCATCAAGGCTTAATGATTTAGGAAAAGCCCCGACCGAGACTGCGTAAGTCCGTAAGCAAGTATGGTTGAGCTAATGAGATATAAGCTTGTACGCATGTAAATCATATTACAAAATAACCTGTCCTAACCTCTTAGTCTAGGATCATTAAGGTTTAACTAGCCAAGGAAAAGCATGACTAAGTCTGCGTAATGTAGTACGCCTAGTTTGTTTTATGAGATTAATCTAGCATATTGGACAAGAGTGAGGGAAGTCATAGCCGTCACTGAACGGAGAAGTTGGGTCGCCTTCTTTTGGATGACGGCTCAGCACCCTCTCTCCTTCAATCTGTCAATCGTGCATAAATAGTTATTAATCAACTTTCGACCACCATTATTTACATTTACCGTATTCCCTAATCTCTTAATTTCAATAGCCTCTCTTATCTTCATTTTAATAGAAGACGAACCATAATCATTAAGCATACCCTTTTGAGACTATTATATCTCATGCCCAGTCTTTGTCATGTGTTTAGCCACTTCTGACCGTCAGATCCAGCTCGCTTTACATGCATTTTTGTGTTCCCTTAGTCTTTGTCAAGTGGGCTTGCATGTCTCACCACCATAGGGCCGATCACAACACGCATTTTTGTAGCATCCGGATCTCGATAATGAGTCATATTTCTCTCTAGAAGACGGCATAACCGAAGAAAATGTGAGGGTTTCGTAAAACATTGTTTTTATCCCCCACTTTCTCACTAGTTCTATTTTTTTGAAAGAAGGCATGACGGCAAATTTAGGACATGAGTAAAGGTTTTCTCATGTCTATCTGACTAAATTCTCTCCCTCTAAAATGTTTTCCTCAGTAATGAGATATTACTAACAATTATGTCCAATGGATAATTATTTTCCAGGAATACATTTTTCAGCCGTTCCAACTTTAGTCAATTGTAGAAGTGGGTTGACCTTGTTGTCGCAACTTGGTCTTTTGTTCAGGTAGACTATGTAGAACGCACCGAGTCCGAAGTCGTCTGCCATAGTAGTTATCTTGTTTCCCAGCATCTGACAGTGGACCTGATACATTCTCAAACGTTTCGCCGGCATCGTAGTCGGCATCATCAGTGAGCCTTGCCATTCTCCACACCAAGATACGAACTCGTCAAAGAGAGAAGACCAACGTTCTGCTGAAAACGGCTCAGTCCTCTTTCTGTCCTGGCCCATCTATCTACTCTTTACCCTCTTATCCAACTGCCACCTTTTAACAACTTCTGAGTTGTTTACATTCCACGCTGCGACCATAACAGAGGCCACAACATCTTGGTTTTCATATATTTACTCAATTGGTTGCCATTCACTAGTCTCATACCTTAATTTTGTAACTGGTTGGAAGGGAAATTCAGAAAAGAGCCAACTTAAGTTGGCTTTCTAAAAACATCTTAACCTTCTCTTTAGTGATCAGAACATCCAAAAAGAGTAAGTGACCTCTTCTATTTCCATTGTAAACCTAATTTTTCTTTAACATTGGTTAAGTGTAAGTAGGAAACTATCTGATATTTTCTAACAATGAGGCCAGATGACAAAATATTAAGTAGTGTATTTACCAACAATTTAGTCATTAATATTGCCTGTTCCAATTAGTGCTGCTCAAGTACTAGAGACTTAATGACTCCTTGAACAAGAATATTTGCGTACATATACACAACATCAAAACTTACTAGCTTATCCTACTCTGAAAGTATCTGCTGATCAATCAATTTCATAAACTCATATGAGTAGTGAGTTCATTTTCCAATTCTCCATTTCACCATTAAGTCATCTAGCCTCGATGAACAGAGCCTGACATTAGCCTTTTTGATAACCGATTTAGGACCGGCATTATGTGTAGGCGTTAACACACACACGAGCAAAAGTAGCAATACTGCTTTCTGATAACTAACAATAATCAACTCGGTCCCATATTTGATTAGTGATTTTTTTCGCAAATAGTGAGGATATCTTAGTTTTTCAGCTGTACATAATGCTACAAATTCTTGTCTCATATAAAATGAAAAGCTGGTTTTAAAAGAATCCATTGGTGTGCTATTGTGATTTGACTTTTCATTTTAAAGGAAATGGTGTTGCAGAGAATGTTTGAATTAGTCCAATCTGAAACCGAAGGAGGATTGCTGAATTGTGCGAAGAAGTCTTTGGCTACTTAATGAGGTAGCTTACCAATAAACTATATTAAGAGGAAAGGTGGCCGGACGTAACCCTAGTGACTTATACATAGTCTTACTATCTTACTGAGGCATCCGATGATTTAGTTGGCCACCTCAGACTTACTCTACGTGATTGCAGATGAGTGAAATAGCTTAACGAATAGGAAGTGTATGCTGTGCCAGCTGCTTCCTTACATGCATAAACTAACGCACGATCATCTAATTTTGACTCATATTTAGGTATGTGCTATTCTCTGTTGTTTGTATACAATGTTAATAGTATGAGAGGTGTGATAGCCCTAATCATACTCGAGGCTTTTATCCCTCTTACTCCCTCGTTCTCCGGTTTATCCAACATACAGAAATTGTTCGTACTTAATTTCTTACATTTCTTCCTTCTATTTATGATGTTGGCTGTTTGGATAATTTCTATCGACTCTAAAATCTCAGTACTGTGCAAAACGTTGTGCTTTGTACCATTCTATGAAGTATTCTGTTTCGGCCATGTGTTCAGCCAGCTCATATTTATGGACCCGTAGACCTTTACAAGCGGTTTCATGTTCACATAATATCTTCTGGATGGATCAGCAGGCCCCCCTCTACATAGACATTAATATATGAGCATAAAACCTTATGAAAGCCTAATTTGGCAAGCGTATCCAAAAATACTTGAAAAGAAGCCATGACTGAATAATTTATCAGTTTATCTTTATAATTTCTTCTAATGTTCCATTCCTTCAATGCCACTTGACATCTAAAGCTGGCAGTAAAGCAAAGTGAGGAACCGAGTATAATGTTCTATCCATTTATCCCGCCCTAAATACTAATCTCCTCTCATCCTGTTATTGGGTATTTAAACGTAATTATGTATTAACCTTATCGGGTAATTGTTTTAAAATGTTAGAGGGACCTTCATTTCGTATGAAAGTGTATTAACATTGTTAGAGGGACCTTCATTTCGTATGAAAGTGCATGAAGAAGAGATTCGTTGGTCGATCTCACCTGTTGAGGACGGATGAAACTCGTTGTACTGCAGCCAGTTGGATTGTATAGGATATTCATGTTGAAGCAGCCGAAACGAGGGAGGAAGTCCCGTGGACTGCGTCAACATGAATATCCTATACAATCCAACCGGCTGCAGTTCTTACAAGAATGACACCCAGCTCTGACGATGTCCATCATATGATGGACGAAAGCTCAGCACGTTTTCACCACGAGGGAGGAAGTCCCGTGGACTGCGTCAACATGAATATCCTATACAATCCAACCGGTTGCAGTACAACGAGTTTCATCCGTCCTCAACGGGTGAGATCGACCAACGAATCTCTTCTTCATGCACTTTCATACGAAATGAAAGTCCCACTAATAATGTTATCTCAGGAAATTCATCGAAACTAACTTTGTCTTCGTATCTACAGTGTGATATAACTTTTATATTATATTATATTATATTATATCATATCACAATCTATTATGCTATGATTATAGAACAGATTGGCATATTATGTAATAAATCAAATA